TTTGTTTACTTCTTAAGTAACATATGCTCAGGAGAAACATAATAAAAATTAAGGGATTTCATAAATAATAGCTTCGTTTAAAAATAGGTCTGTAGACTGGCCAGTGTGCAAACTCCAATTGGTAATCTGTAATTGTTGCTTTATTGTGTGATGTCCAGCGGCATTAAAAGGTAATATCTTATCATCCTTCAGAGGAGTAAAAGTGCATCTCATGAGTTATCTAAATTCTCAAAAATGCTCAATGAAATTAGCAAAATTCATTTATACAAAAACTACAGAACTATAGCAAAGGGATCTGTTTACAGAGCCAGAAATGGTATTTCTAAATTCAAATTATCAAACCAAATATTTAGACTTCTTTTGGGTAAGAAATTCTTGTAGAATAGCCAACTTTGTTTTCTGAATTAGAACATTCAAGAGAAAGAACATTTTAAACATTATTGTATTTTATCAGTATATTGCAAGCCAATATTCTACTGCCACCTAAAGTAGAAAAACGGAATTACTGCTTATAGTTAAGACAATACTAGAGAGAAGACAAATGAATCCTGAAAGTATGACAAGTCATATGTTTTCAGGCAAATGTTTTCAGTCTCTTCTATTCATGTCTCCTAAACTAAACATTTTAAGACCACATTTTTGTTGTTGTTAAACCTCACCAGAGGATATTTTTCCATTAATTTTTAGATAGAGTGGAAGGGATGAAGAGGGAGGGAGGGAGGGAGAGAGACAGACAGACATCTATGTGAGACAGACACATAGATTGGCTGTCTCGTGCACGACCCCAACCAGGGCCAGGGATCAAACCTGCAACCCAAGTACGTGCCCTTGACCAGGAATCAAAGCCAAGACTCTACAGTCTGCGGGCCAACACTCTAACCACTGAGCAAAATTAGCCAGGGCTAAGACCAGATATTTTGCATCCATTTTTTATACTCAGTTTACTTAATATTTGTTATTTTCTTTATTACTTAATATTTGCTGTCCAAAATGTATAAGGACTCATTCTTAAATTGAGTCAAGTATCAAAAAGAGACTGCTGGACACATCATTCTTTATTTGTAAAGAGAGACCAATAATAGATTTAAAAGTACCCTATACAATAAAATCTTTCTATATTATATAATAAATGCAAAAACTCTACTACAAAGACAAGAAAGTTAAACATTAAAAAGCATTCTGGCCCTGGCCGGTTTGGCTCAGCGGTTAGAGCGTCCGCCTGCGGTCTGGAGAGACCCGGGTTCGGTTCCCGCTAAGGGCATGTACCTTGGTTGCAGTTTGTCCCCAGCCCTGGTTGGTCGTGTGGGTGGCAGCCACTCGATGTGTCCCTTTCTCATCGATGTTTCCCTCTCTCTCATGTTTCCCTCTCTCTCCCTCCCACTCTGTCTGTACAAAAAATGGAAAAATGTCCTCGGGTGAGGATAAAAAAAAAAAAAGCAAAAAAAAAAAAAAAGCATTCTGGCTTTTCCACAGCTGGCTTTTTCACAAAAATGAGGTACTGGCTACATTCCATAAGACAAATCCCAAAACAGATTAATACCACTCACTGACAATCTTTTTAAAAATCACCATTAATGGGCAGTCAACTCCAGTCATTTTGTAAACGATACAAAATGCACTTTTAAGCCTCTGCTTTTACTGTAAATACTTTCCACAAAATTTTCCAGGTTATTTGGAAACTAGGATCAAAGTCTGCTTTTAAAATAATATATATCAATAATAAAATTAAAATATACTCCACAGAATGGAAAACATTAAACTACTGAAATATTAAAAAGATTAAGTGGGGTATCATTCCACAGAATTTAACCTCTTCAATATTTACATCATACCCAAAAGCCTCTTAAAGCCCAGCCAGTGTGGCTCAATGGTTGAGTGACGACTCGGCTCATGCAATGAAGGTCAACTGGTTGGATTCTCAGTCAGAGCACATGCCCTGGTTTTGGGCTCAATCCCCAGTAAGGGGCGTGCAGGAGGCAGCCAAATGATGTTTCTCTCTTCCTCTTTCTAAAATCAATAAAAACATTTTTTTTTTTTTAAAGCCTCTTAAAAAAAGGTTTCACCAGTGCTCAGTACAAAGTTACTAAATTTAAATTCCAAATACTAAAAAGTAGCATATAAAATCAGGGTCAAGATGGAAAGAGTTTTAAAAGCCAAGTACAGAATATTAGGTATTGTTGTTGTTTTTAATTTTTTTCTTTATTGATTTTAGAGAGAGAGGGAAAGAGAGAGAGAAACATCAATGAGAGAGAACACTGATTGGCCGCCTCCTGTATGCCCCCCCACTGGGGATTTGGCCCAAAACTTGGGCATGTGCCCCAATGGGGAATCAAACCAGTGACTTCTAGGTAGATGGGTCAATGTTCAACCACTAAGCTACACCGGCTGGGCCGGAATATTTTGTATTGTACAAAAGAGAGGAAAGACTGTTGGTGATGGTGTTCAGGACATGCCACCCCAAAATATGGCACTTTTGCATACTGAATATTTAAACTGAAGGAGCTGAAAAGAATGCAAAACAAGAAGGTCACTTTTCCCTCTCCCAAAACCTTTTTCCTGAAACAGGTCATAAAACCTTCATGTGAGAGGTGCACTCCCTATACCTAAAAAAAAGGAGCATCCATATGGACAAAGACAAAAGGTCACCAAGAAGAACCTTACAAACAGGCCTTACTGTTTCCCCTAGTTTACCACAATTACTTCATACTCTTTAACCTATTCTATCCCTTGATAACTGTCCACTCTTCATCAAACATAGCATAAAATACTCAGGTCTTCATTTTCTGTGTCACATAAAACTTTCTCCTGTTAATCATTGTGAGTTTAATTTTCAAGACCTGGCCAGAGACCCTAAGAGGGTCTTCCCCTACATTGGCTAAAATAAACAGTATATTTCTATGTCAAAAGAAAACTCTTGGGCCCTGGCCAGTTTAGCTCAGCGGTTAAGCATCAGTCTGCAGACCAGAGTCCCAGGTTCAGTTCCCACTAGGGGCACGTACCACAAAGAAAAAATTAATAAATAAAGTAACATGGACAGATTGTTAAAAAGAAAGAGAGAGAGAGAGAGAGAGAGAGAGAGACAGACAGAGACAGAGACAGAGAGACAGAGAGAGAAAGAAGGAAGGAAGAAAGAAAACTCTTGGAAATTATAAACATAATCAAGTAAAAAATTCAATTAAAAGGCTAGAAGAGGCCCTGGCCGGTTTGGCTCAGCGGTTAGAGTGTTGGCCTGTGGTCCAGAGAGACCCACAGTTCAGTTCGGTTCCCACTAAGGGCATGTACCTCGGTTGCAGTTTGTCCCCAGCCCTGGTTGGGTTGTGTGGGTGGCAACCACTCGATGTGTCCCCTTCACATCCATGTGTCTCTCTCTCCCTCCCACTCTATCTGAATGAAAAAATGTCCTCAGGTGAGGATAAAAAAGAAAAAAAAAAGGCTAGAAGAGAACATTGAGGAAATCTATCAAGAAGTAAAAAAAAAAAAAAAATAGAAAATGGAAAAAATAAAATTTGAGGATACAGCCCTAAAAAGATTCAGAAAGCTAAGATATTTGTATAAAGACAAGAAGATAAACCTGGGGGGGGAGGGGCGGTCACTGGTAGCTGTGCTGAGAATAGACTGTAGGGGGCAGAAGTGGATCAGGAAGACCAATCCATATGCTGTTTTATGTATTTCTAGACTTCTAAAATAGGATATAAATAGATGTGTGTGTGTGTGTGTGTATATATTTTTATCCTCACCCGAAGACATTTTTCCATTTTTTTATTCCGATAGAGCGGGAGGGAGAGAGAGGAAGAGAGAGAGAAACATCAATATGAAAGAGACACATTGAGTGGCTGCCACCCGCACGACCCAAACAGGGCTGGGGACAAACTGCAACCGAGGTACATGCCCTTAGCAGGAACTGAACCTTGGTCTTTCTGGACTGCAGGCTGACGCTCTAACCGCTGAGCCAAACCGACCAGGGCTATATAAATATATTTTTAATCCAAATGAGTGAAAATAGAAATGGATAAATTAACTTTTTTTTTTAATCCTCACCCAAGAACATGTTCATTGATTTTTAGAGAGGGGAAAGGGAGGAGAGAAAGAGAAATATCAATCAGTTGCCTCCTGCATGCACCCCAACCGGGGCTGGGGATCAAACCCAGAACCTAGTTATGTGTTCTGACTGGGAATAGAATCCACAACCTTTCTGTGTAAGGGACCATGCTCCAACCAACTGAGCCCCAATAGCCAGGGCAATAAGTTAACTTCTGATTTACAGAGCTGTGTGTAGGAATATATCAACAATAGACAAAACAAAATCCAACAGAACTTTCATTAAATATTTTGTTTAATAAAATTTCAGTGAGAAAATAAAATCATCACCAACAGAGGGCAGTAGAGAATACAAAAGTTTAGTATACAAAAAGCGATCTAGCTTCACAGTTAAAATCTTTCTCTAGAATTTTAGTAAATTGGAATTAAGGAGCATACCCACAAGGTTAACAGCAGGAGCAAGAAACATGAAGTATGTAAACATATATCTACAAGAAACTGAAATTATAAATGTGGGCTCAAAAAAATCAGATAAAAATGACAGAGTATTTATATAGGATATCATCTCCCTAATTAAACACAACACATTCAATTCATTGATTTCACTGCCCCTCAGGAACTACCAAAATAAATAAAACTAGAGCAAGTGAATGGCCAGCTTCATTTATCCACAAGTAAATGAAAGGTTTGTCCTTTTGTTATCAATAGGCAAAGTTAGAGAGGGTCAATGTCCCAGCCAAGTAGGGTTGAAGAGCTCCATTCCAAGTGGAAAACAGGTACCAGTACAAATGCCAGCAATCAATGCATTATACCTGGTCACACAATGTGAAGGTTAGAGGGGAAGGCTGAAGCTCTGGAAGCACCTGAACCTGAAACACAGTCTATGAATGAATGCAGGCAGCTTGCAGCAAGGAGCCTGTTAACATGTGTATCCACTGCCTAGTCCCTGCTGAGTTACACACCTTTCATTCTTTTCCTCCTACCACTGTTGTCCCTCTTCATTTTCACTTTCTTCACAGAACTTAATTTTCTATAGATGACTGAAAGTTATGGCCGGCCACCAAATGAGAATTGAAGTACTACTCCATTTTTATCCTCAGTACATTTTCCTTTGCTTAGATTCCTGCATTTTTATTTAGTATTTTCTTCACTGCTTTTCTTCTAGCCTGCAGTTTGAATTCCAAGATTGCTGAGACTCTACAAAGACAAAAGAAAACAATGTTTTGACCTCTGATGTCATCTATATGTAAAAATGTATATATCCTGTCCCCTTCATACTCAAGAGGATGACTACTACAAAAAAAGAAAAGAAAATATCAAGTTTGGGGGTGGGGGGAATCAGAACCCTTATGCACTGTTAGTGGGAATATATAATAGTATAGTCATTAAAAAAAAACAGTATGGTGGTTCCTCAAAAAACTAGAAGTAGAGTTACCATATGACCTAGCAATTCTACCTCTGTATATACTCAAAATAACTGAAAGTAGGGTCTCAAAGAGACACCTGCACTCCTGTGTTCACAGCAGTATTATTTACAATAGCTAAAACATGGGAGCAACCCAAGTGTCCAATGACAGATGAATGAATAAGCAAAATGTGGTATATACACACAATGTACTATTCTCAGCCTTTTAAAGGAAGATATTTCTGACATATGCTATAACATGGATGAACCCTGAAGACATTATGCTAAGTGAAATGTCAGTCACAAAAAAAGACAAATACTGTATGATTCCACTTATATGAGATATTTAGGGTAGTCAAAATCATAGAGACAGAAAGAATGGTGGTTGCCAAGGGCTATGGAGGAGTAGTTATGGAAGTTATTGTTTAATGGGTATAAAGTTCCAGTTTTACGAGATAAAAAGAATTATAGATATAGATGGGAGTGATGGATGCAAAAGAGTATGAATGTATTTAATACCACTAAACTGTACACTTTAAAATGGTTACGATCGGCCCTAGCCGGTTTGGCTCAGCGGTAAGAGCATCGGTCTGCGGTCCAGAGAGACCAGGGTTTGGTTCCCGCTAAGGGCATGTACCTCGGTTGTAGTTTGTCCGCAGTTTATCCCCAGCCCTGGTGGGGTTGTATGGGTGGCAGCCACTCGATGTGTCCCTTTCACATTGAGGTTTCTCTCTCTCTTCCTCTCTCTACCTCCTGCTCTATCTGAACAAAAAATGAAAAAATGTCCTCGGGTGAGGATAAAATAAAATAAAATGTTTATGATCGGCCCTAGTCAGTTTGGCTCATCAGTTAGAGAGTCAGCCCGCAGACTGAGGGGTCATGGGTTCGATTCCCAGTCAAGGGCACATACATGGGTTGCAGGTTTGGGCCCTGGCCCTGGTCAGGGTCGTGTGGGAGGCAGTCAGTCAATGTGTCTCTCTCACATCAATGTTTCTTTCCTTCTCTCCCCCCTTCCCTCCCTCCCTCCCACTCCATCTAAAAATCAATGGAAAAATACCTTCTGGTGAGGATTAACAAAAAATAAATAAAAATTAAATGGTTAAGATAATAAATTTTGTGTTATATGCATTTTACCACAATTTTTTAAAATTGAAAAATAAAAAAATGTATACTTTGCTTAAGAGCAGGAATAAAGGAATAAAATGTTATTTTACTTCTTGCCACCTCCACCAATATTCTATATTCAGTAACATCATGCTATGGTCAAATTGGACTATTCACCATTTCTTGAACCTGCTCTACATTTTTCTGCCCCACCCCTTCTATTTTCTTAACCTAGAATACCCTATATTGCTGCCTCTCATTTTAGTCTAAAATATTTTATACCTTCAAGAGCCACAAAAATGGCATCTCCACAAAACCTGCCAAAAATAACTAATACCTCTCTTCTGACCACAGCAGCTTAGTTAGACCTCTATTTGCAAATACTACAGCATCCTTGAATCATGCTTGTGTGTGTTCTCTTTTATTGCAGATGGACATTATATCTCTGCTCAAAGCTCTTTTGTTTAAAAAGCATGTTTGTTGGGCCCTGGCCGGTTTGGCTCAGCGGTTAGAGCGTCGGCCTGCGGTCCTGAGAGACCCGGGTTCGGTTCCCGCTAAGGGCACGTACCTCGGTTGCAGTTTGTCCCCGGCTCTGGTCAGTCGTGCGGGTGGCAGCCACTCAATGTGTTCCTTTCACATCGATGTTTCTCTCTCTCTCTCTCTTCCTTACTCTACCTGAACAAAAAATGGAAAAATGTCCTCGGGTGAGGATTAAAAAAAAAAAAGCATGTTTGTTGGGAGGATGGGTGAAAAAGCTGAAGGGATTAAAAAGTACAAATTGGCAGTTACAAAACAGGCATGGGGATATAAAGTACAGAAGAGGGAATATAGTCAACAATATCGTAATAACTATGTATGGTGTCAGGTGGGTATTAGACTTATGGGGAGATCACTTTGTAATATCTAATGTCTAACCTGAAACTAACATAATATTAAATGTCAATTGTAATTGAAAAAAATAAAATACGTTTGCTCTTTAGGTTCCCATAAGAGTTAGAGAGAGTTTCACCCCTCAGTGTTGCTTATAAGATAAATAAAGACTGGAATTAAATGTCATCAAGGGCCTATGATTTCAGCCCTAAGTCAAACAATTAAAGGCTTTCTCCCTTGATACCTCAGACCAGTCAGCTCTGCAGAAGCTCTACTGCCAAGCACAGGCAAATCTTCTGTTCTATTCCCACCACCAACAGAGCCATGCCAGCTCTTCAAACTAGAATCGCTCAGAACACTGAAGTATTCCATCCTCAAGCAGAGGAATGACACCTGGATATTATTCAGCAATGTATTTAAAAGAAAATAAGGGAGAGTTTCCAGGCAATCTCTTCTCTGGGTATCCTGCAATTATTTTTTAAACATGTTTTTATTGATTTTTCTTTTTTAGAGACAGAGGAAGGGATAGAAACATCAATATGAGAGAGAAACATCCACCGGCTGCCTCCTGCACACCCCCTACTGGGGATTGAGCTGCAACCCCAGCATGTGCCCTGAATGGGAATCGAACCAGGATCTCAGTCGATGGGATGACAATCCACTGAGCCACACCAGCCAGTTGGTATCCTGTAACTTTTATCTCATAACAAAACAACACTATCAAAATAGGGGCCACCTAGAGAGAAGTAGCCCCAGTGTTTGGAGACCCTAAGACAACACTTACACATGTGCTGTTCTTACTTCTTGGCCTGCAGTTCCTTATCCTCAACTTCCCCTTCGCCTACCAAACACCTCAAAAACACAAGTAACACACCAAATTCTCTAGGAAACCTTTTCTGACCATTCAAAGAGTAAGATTTGCTAGAAATAGAAGTCATTCTCTATTTATTTATTTATGACATCAACTAAACTTATTTAGCATGTCTAGGATCACACCTGAGATACTATCCCTTATATTTCCACAGACAACCCATTTACTTTTATGAAATAATTGCTTTGTTGTTTGGTTTTTATTCTGGATTCAAATATTATAAATAAACAAAGGCAGTTTCAAAAAGAAAAACAAAACTGACTTTTTTTTTTTAATCCTCACCCAAGGACATTTTTCCATTTTTTGTTCCGATAGAGTGGGAGAGAGAGAGAGAAACATCGACATGAAAGGGACACATCGAGTGGCTGCCACCCGCACAACCCAACCAGGGCCGGGGACAAACTGCAACCGAGGTACATGCCCTTAGCAGGAACTGAACCCGGGTCTCTCCGGACCACAGGCCAATGCTCTAACCACTGAGCCAAACCGGCCAGGGCAAAACTGCCTTTTAAAAAATTTTTTTTTTATTACAGATGTCCCTCCTTTTTTCCCCCATTGACTCCCTCCTCCCTGCTCCCCCACATGCCTGCCTTCACTGCACTGTTGTCTGTGTCCATTGGTTATGCATGTATACATATAAGTTCTTTGAAATGCCTTTTTAAAGCATAAGCAGTTTTTTTTTAAACCTCACCCAAGGATTTTTTTTTTCCCCGAGAGAGAGAGAGAGAAACATCAATTGGTTGCCTCCTCTACATACCCCAACTGGGGATGGAACCCAAAACCTAGGTATGTACCCTGACCAGGAATCAAACCTGCAACCTTTTGGTGTAGGGACTACGCTTCAACCGAGCTTCAACCAAGTGAACCACCCGGCCAGGGCTAAGCAGTTTTGAAACAAATAACAAGTGCAAATGTATAGCAGGTGAAATTTTAACACTGACTTTTAAACCACGTGTGATTTTATTTTATTTTATTTTATTTTTTATTTTATTTATTTTATTTTATTTTATTTGAAAAGGCAAGGGAGATTATATGCAAGTGGGTAGGGGCAACTCCCCACAGGCACAGGTCTCCATTGCCCTTTTTTAAAAAAAAATTTTTTTTTCTTTATTGATTTTATTTTTGTTTTTATCCTCACCCGAGGACATTTTTCCATTTTTTGTTCAGGTAGAGTGGGAGGGAGAGAGAGGAACAGAGAGAGAGAGAGAAACATCGATGTGAAAGGAACACATCGAGTGGCTGCCACCCGCACAACCGACCAGGGCCGGGGACAAACTGCAGCCGAGGCACGCGCCCTTAGCGGGAACCGAACCCCGGTCTCTCAGGACCGCAGGTCGACGCTCTAACCGCTGAGCCAAACTGGCCAGGGCTCTTTATTGATTTTAGAGAAAGGGAGAGGGAGATAGAGACAGAAACATCGATGAGAAAGAACATCGATTGGCCGCCTCCTGCATGCCCCCTACTGGGGATCGAGCCCACAACCCGGGCATGTGTCCTTGGTGCATGGGTCACACTCAACCACTGAGCCACACCGTCAGGACCTATTCCCTAATCTTTAAAATGAATGTCCACCATATAAAGCTTTGACAAGAAACAAATTAAATAAAATGTAAAACATCACCCTGGCCAGTTTGGCTCAGCGGTTGAGTGTTGGCCTGCGGATTTGGTTCCCGCTAGGGGCATGTACCACCAAAAAAAAAAAGTAAAACATCTAGTACAGTTCTTAATACACAGGAGGCCCACAAAAATCAAAAATCATTTTACAGTCTTATCTCTACACTTTGGCCCTAGATTCATTCCTATGACTAGTTCTCAGTCTAAACCAGTGTTGTCCAACACCAGTGGCCATCAGCACATGTGATTACTGAGCATTTGAAATGTGGCTAGTCCAAATAGATATGTGCTTTAAGTATAAAACACATACCACATACCATACTTGAAAGACTTTGTGGAAAAAATAAAAAAATATCTTATTTATATTATACATCGATTACATGTGAAGAGAGAATACTGTGGCCCGGTCTGGTTCAGCTGCGCGGTTCGAACCACCTCGCGGTCCCATTCTCCCAAGGGCACGTTCCTGAGCTGCAGGTTAGATCCCCAGTCCCGGCGTGTGCCCGCAACCAACTGAGGTGACTCTCACACTGAGGTTTCTGCTTCTCTCTCCCTCTCCCTCCCTTCCTCTCTATCTAAAAAATCAGTGGAAAAAATATCCTTGGGTGAGGAGTAACAAAAAAGGGGATAGTGTTTTGGATATACTGGGTTAAATAAAATATTAAAATTAACGTCACCTGCTTCTTTTTCCTTTTTTAATGTGACCACTAGAACCTTTTAAAGTACACATTTAGCTCTCCCTACATTTCTATCGGACAGGCTGGCTCGCCCTTTGACTTGAAGCTGGTAAATATGCTCCCTTAACCATAGAGTGGACCGCCTGACAGGGTTCGATCCGGCCAGTGCACCCCTTGTCCCGGCGCACTTCAACGCTCCCCACTTCCACCATGCGGGGAAGTCTGACGACTTACTCGCTTTTAATTTTTAAAAGTGTGAAGCCTACAGATCCTCCGAGGCAACTCTAAATTGGTATCTACACAAAAGAGAAGTATCTAGAGAAACGCCCAGCGTGGTCTCCCGTCAGCACTGCTGGAAGGGCTGGGAGCTTGAACAGAAAGGGGTCACCCTTAAGAAAGTGAGAAGAGACGACGCAGCGAGCGCCCCGATTCTGAAGGAGCAAAATGTGGAGCCCATGGCGTAGAGGTCGGAGGACCAAAGACTTTTCAGCTACTGAGGGTTACGAGTCTGAGGGAGGCGGATAAGGGGCTGGGCTACGCGATGGAGGCTGCAGGGAGGAGCAGTACCTTAAGAATCCCCGTCATCTTCGCCAGAAAGGGCCGGAACTCCTCGGGTGGCACCTCCGGATAGAGCTGGCTCCGAAGCAGGTCCTCAGTGATGCCGGGGTGCCCATGGAAAGTTTTCTGGGCCAGGCCGCTCAGCAGCCCGCTCAGGGCCTTGCAACTCTCAAGCTCGCCCGCCATTGTCAGTAGAGGCCCCGCCCCTCAACCGCTGAGCGCAGCCCGCCACGGCAGCCGGGACGGGCCTAAATAGCCCCGGCGGAGGCGCGAAGTTCCCCTAAGGATCCACGTTGGTAGCTATTGGCTTTGCTCTGCAAACCCCGTCCCCTTAGGTTGCCACTGCTGAACTATCCATTCAGTTCCAGAAGGATCATTTTGCTTCCGTTGATCTCCTTCTTCATTCCAGGGCCCACTCCAAGGAAAGAACCTTTGGTGAACACTTGAGATGGAGTAGCATTCTGAAAAAATGGCAGTTTAACTTTCGGATGCCTGCATCTCATTCCAGGCCTTGCCAATCCACTAACTGAATAGGATCTATCACTCAGATCTAATCTCTGCCTAATTCTCACCTGTCCACCTTTGTCCAAGAAAATATAACCATCCCCTGATAACATAATGTGTTTGCCTGGATTATTGCTTGCCTTTTTTTTTAATATTTTGTTCAGATAGAGTAGGAGGAAGAGAGAGAGAGAGAGAAACATCGACGTGAAAGGGACACATCGAGTGGTCGCCACCCGCACGACCAACCAGGGCCGGGGACAAACTGCAACCGAGCTACGTGCCCTTAGCGGAACCGAACCCCGGTCTCTCTGGACCGCAGGCCAACACTCTAACCGCTGAACCAAACCAGCCAGGGCTATTGCTTGCCTTTTTATATACACGTGACTAGTCTTTCCAGCTAGGTCAGTGGCTCTGCTCCAATACTCCTTTCCATAACAAATATTTTGTCAACACCCTACTGTCCTGAAATTACATGCATAGATAATATAACTGCCTACCCATATAATTTCAAAAATTCAATATATTAATCACACAGAAGAAGGAATAAGGTACTGACACATGCTACAACATGAATGAACCCTTAAAACACACTAAGTAAAAAAAGACAGACACAAAAGTTACTTTATGATCTCGTTTAAATAAAATATCCAGAATAGGCAAATCCATACAGACAGAAAGTAGATCAATGGTTGCCAAAGGCTGGAGAAAGAGGGAATAGGATTAATGGGTACCGGATTTCTTTGGGGGAGGTGATGAAAATGTTCTAGAACTTCAGGTAGTGGTTATGATTGCAAACTTTGTGAATATAATAAAATCTACTGAATTGTACAGTTTAAGGGATGAATTTTACAGTATGTGAATTATATCTGTCGATGTAAGAAACATTCAAAACTGTGAAGAAGTTTGCGAGTTTATTTGAGCCAAAACTGTCAACAATTGTGGGAAAGCAAAATCTTTTTTTTTTTTACGTATTTTTTTTTTTTTTTTTTTGGTTCAGGTAGAGTGGGAGGGAGAGAGAGGAAGAGAGAGAGAAACATCGACGTGAAGGGACACATTGAGTGGCTGCCACCCGCACAACCGACCAGGGCCGGGGACAAACTGCAACCGAGGTACATGCCCTTAGCGGGAACCGAACCCGGGTCTCTCAGGACCGCAGGCCGACGCTCTAACCGCTGAACCAAACCGGCCAGGGCGGAAAGCAAAATCTTAATGGATTGAGATAATGCTCCAGAGAATGGCACTTTTGCACCTTATTTTATACATTACAATCAAAAGAGAAGATGTAAGTGAATTACATGAAATTCATTGGTGATAGAGTAGGGAGGTGGGAGAAAGCAAAGAGGGGAAACTTCTGGGATTGGATGAAAAGTAAAATTATTGACACACTCATCTTTTACATAGGTGGGTAAAGGATAGTTAACAGTCAACAATTAACTCAACAACAATGAGGGGATTTGTGGTCTCTGAAGAGTGGTGCCTGTGCTTTGAGGGGTCCGGAAAAAGGAAAATTACTTTGACTTTCCAAAGATACGTTATTGGAGATGCAACAGACAACAGACAGGCTCAGTTAAGGTAAAGATTGACTGTTGCCAGCCTAGGACATGACTACCTGCCATAAACTGCTTTTAGTTAAAAAAATTTTAGCCCTGGCTGTTTTGGCTTAGCAGTTGGAGTGTCAGCCTGCGGTCCAGAAAGACCTGGGTTCAGTTCCCGCTAAGGGCACATACCTCGGTTGCAGTTTGTCCCCGGCCCTGGTTGGGTCGCGCGGGTGGCAACTGCTCAATGTGTCCCTTTCACGTCGATGTTTCTCTCTCTCTCCCTCCCTCCCTCCCACTCTATCTGAACAAAATATGGAAGAATGTCCTCAGGTGAGGGTAAAAAAAAATTTGATTTCAGTCCATCCTCTGTGGTTACTTTAGGTCTTTGAGTTTGCAAGGCTCCCACGAAGGTTGGATTAGCATGTGGCCCCTTTTCATGCACATACTTCAATTTAAAAATCAATATAATGGCCCTGGCCGGTTTCTCAGTGGTTAGAGCATCAGCCTGCGGTCCAGAGAGACCAGGGTTCAGTTCTCGCCAAGAGCACATACCTCGGTTGCAGTTTGTCCCGGGCCCTAGTTGGGTCGTGCAGGGAGGCAGGCACTCGATGTGTCCCTTTATCATAGATGTTTCACGCGTTCTCTCTCTCTCTCTCTCTCTCTCTCTCTCTCTCTCTCGTCTTCTCTCTCCCTCCTACTCTATCTGAACAAAAAATGTAAAAATGTCCTCGGGTGAGGATAAAAAAAAAAAAAAATCAATATAATGACCTTACTATAATTTAGGATAAAAATAAAAGGAAAGTAATTTATAATGTATGTATTTCATTGTGTTTGGGCACAACTACTCTAGGTGACTAGGAGACATATGAAGTAGTCTGATGCCTGCATTTTTATGTAGAACCACCCGTGACTTCCAAAAATGTAAATACAGGTGTGCTGTATTGGTGACGAGAGAGAGAGGTTGCCACTTGCCACATCAAATTTGTTGTTTTGAAATGTGAACAATGGTTGGCAAAATTCAGAACAGAAAACATTCTTCCCTCACTTTACCCAGTAATTGCACACCAGGAATGTTCTGTGTACTTTAAAGCTATGCTAAAAATACACTGTATTTATATATATAATGGAGTTAGATTTCAGGCTCAGACAATAACAAACAGGTAGATTTTTCATCTACATGAATATACCCTGCATGGCAGGATGTCTTATATCCCTGGCCCCTATCCAGTCTGAGCCATTCCTTCCCCTTCATCATTGTGAGAATTGAAATACCCCTTTCAAAGTAGTGCCACCTTGTTGTGCTGTTGAGAATCACTGATCTAGACTGCTTTAATTAATGTTTATACAATGTTTGCCTAAAGTCAAGAGGCATTCTTTTTTGTTTTAATCCTCACCTGAGGATATTTTTGTATTGATTTTCAGATAGAGTGGGAAAGAGAGGGAGAGAGAAACATCGATGTGAGAGAGACACATTGATTGGCTGCCTCCCACACAACCACAACCAGGATCTGGGACCGAACCGCAACCAAGGTATGTGTCCTTGACTAGAATCAAACCCTCAATTCATTGGTCTGTGGGCTGATGCTCTAACTGCTGAGCCAAACTGGCCAGGGCAAGAGGCATTCTTTATAACAGAAAAAATATAAGATATTTCTTTCTCTAAAGGAATTAATTTTCTAAATGGTAAATTCAGAGATGCTTTTATGGCTCCAATAAAAGTAAGCCTAGAGATAAACTATACATTGTGTTCAGTGTGCCTACAGGAGTTTCAGAGAACAGGCAATGTAATGGAAAGAGTAAATGGTTGTGAATGGAAAGAAACAGCACTATTAAGCACATGACTTGCAAATTCCCACCAGAAAGGCTGTATTTATTTATTTCCAACTGACTTATTAACACTTATTTACCCTTATTAACACTGACTGGTATTACTCTTTATGGTTTTTACCATCTGATATATAATAAACATTATCTTGTTTTAATTTGAGTTTCTTAAAATTTGAGAGTGAATACTTTTTTTTTTTTTAATCCTCACCCGAGGACATTTTTCCATTTTTTGTTCAGGTAGAGTGGGAGGGAGAGAGAGGAACAGAGAGAGAGAGAGAAACATCGATGTGAAAGGAACACATTGAGTGGCTGCCACCCGCACAACCGACCAGGGCCGGGGACAAACTGCAACCGAGGTACGCGCCCTTAGCGAGAACCGAACCGGGGTCTCTCAGGACCGCAGGCCGACGCTCTAACCGCTGAGCCAAACCGGCCAGGGCGAGAGTGAATACTTTTTTATATGTATTTACTGACTGCTTGTATTTCTTCCTATTTTCCTGACAATTATCTATAGGGGGTTGTCACTTCAGTAATCTCTAAGATTAATGGAATATTAATATTTGGAATATTATACATTTGGAATATTAATATTTGTCACCCATATTTTAATATTTTCCTTGGGTGTGTATAGTTGAATCTATCAACCTGCATGGCAAAAGTCTGGAAGATAATTCACCAATGTGGTTATAGAATATATATCTGAGTAATAAGGATGGTTTATATTTTCTTCTGTCTGGTTTCCTGATTTTTCTAATTGTTTACAGTGTACATGTAATACTATTATAATAAAAAGTTATGTAATGACACTTAAAATAAACAGTTATCCTAAAATCAAACTTCTTTTAATGAAAAGCTTTAAAAGAGCCCTGACCAGTTTGGCTCAGCAGTAGAGCGTTGGCCCAGGGACCAAAGAGTTGTGAATTCAATTCCAATCAGGGGCACATACCTCGGTTGCCGTTTGATCTCTGGCCCTGGTCGGGATCCTGTAGGAGGCAACCAATCGATGTGTCTCTGTCACATTGACGTTTCTCTCTCTTTTTTTTTTTATCCTCATTCGAGGACATTTTTCCATTTTTTGTACAGACAGAGTGGGAGGGAGAGAGAGGAAGAGAGAGAGAGGGAAACATCGATATGAAAGGGACACATCGAGTGGCTGCCACCCGCACGACCAACCAGGGCCGGGGACAAACTGCAACT